TCGACATCATCAATAATTTTTATTAGCTGTACATCATTTTTATTTAAAACCTTGCACATTGTGCGGATTTATCGTGAATCTGTACGTAAACGAGCTCGAATCTTTTGAAGGCTATTTTACGAATTTAAGTGATTTTAATACTGTCATCGATTCTTCTGTTAAACACTTTCTGTGGTTCAACAGAAATATCAACATTTTTCTGTGCCATGCTCCGCATTTGCACACATTTGTTGAGAACTATAAGAACGAAGAATATCATACTATAAAATTACCCGCAGGACTAAAATTTATCTGGATGAAGCTAGTAATTTGGTCAACGGACAACGAACCCTGGTTAGTAAAAGGTTTCCTAGCTTTTGACATCACAGTCTGCTTCAACATGAACTTCAAATGGTATGAAAATCTTTGCTAACCCTATGACTAAAACACAAAACCTTTCATAATTTAGTGATATGTCCTCTTTTTTGTAAAACTCAGGAAACCTACGTTCGCACTGAAAATATTAACATTCTTTCATTGCCTTCATGACAGTTTCAAAATACTCTCGAATATCCTTCACAAGTTCTGGATTATCCACAGATGATGGCCGAACCATCATACAATCACTTTCGTTATGCGACCTTTAGAAATATGAATAGTATAGTAAAATCCGCATGTGGAATGTTTTTAACCACTCGGTGCTACATTGTGAAATTATAAGAGTTCAACTCTAAGTTCTATACCTGGACCATGACGGATGAAGTGTTGTAGTAGGATGTTAGATAAACTTTATTACCCAGTGATCGGTTACAATGTGGAACGTTACAATAAACAAGTGGTTACGCAGCCGTTTTCTCGCCTATATCACAACTACAGCCTCCTTTTCTGTCTGAGAATATCGTTGTCCACCCCCTATTAATCGTCTCGAAGTAAAATAACAGGTTTCCCACTCTGTTCTGAAGCCGCATTCTATCCCGAAGGCGATGCATCATTAGTAAGAATAGACCTTTCACTCGATGAATACGGTCTGCAGAAAGCTTCAACATTTTAAAACTGTAGAGTGCTCCATCATATATCATCAAGTCATTGTTCCCGCACAAACTCTTTGGTATAAAGCAAATTGAAAAGTGGAGACAATACTTGGTAAAGTTGAGAATGAATCTGGAATAAAACTGAAAAGCACCAATCCATGATCTCAGTGCTAGGATATTTTTAGTTGACGTTGCTTGAATCAGTTAGGGTAGGCGACTTATATCAGTTTTAAAAACCTTAGTAGGTGCAGTTTAGCCTAGACATTTGATAGAATTAATTTGGAACTGACACTTAGATTGGATTGCGGCTAATTTTGCATAACAAAAGTGTTAAAACGGGTGTGTGTGCAGGTTTTAGATACGCAGCGTTTATATCGATCGCGATCTGTGACAGTGACACGGAAAACACGTACGGACGACCTAGTGCCCTGATTGGCCCTGCCTCGCTGTCTGTCCTAGCCAGTTGAGTCAAGAACACAAGTCACAGCCTCTGGGTTATGAATCATTGTATTTCAAACATACTCTATTTATATACCAAGCAAACAAACCACATCGAACCATAAAATAGGAAACAACATTTGTACAATATTTAACAAGTGAAATAAACATCGACCAATAAGAAATGTACATTTAGGGTTCAAGGACACCATTGGACTTAACATGATAATTATTGGTCTCGTTTTCCGACTCTCCTAACACCTCCCCTTTTTTGAAAGATCCGGAGTTAATATCTGGACTTTAAAATTTTCTGCGTCCGTCCTCCCCCGCGAAATAACGTTGGGTCCTCATATACCCAAGTAACAGTTAGTCGTTAACTATGCGACTTAATACATCAGTGTGAACTATAATGTCATACTGATGTGATTCAATATTATCAATACCGATGATAAGGCAGTCTTTGACCTTCTGGAATATCTCAGGAGTGGACATTTTATTCGAACAGTAGAAATTTACTTTTGGACACCCAAATATTATATTGATATCAGTTCATTCACTGGAGATTTCATCCAATGTAATTTGTAAGCATTAATTGCCAGACCTAATTATTTCATCCTTGGTCTGTTTTCAGTGTTACAACTCTGTTACAGAATCCGGGTGATATTCACCGCAAATTCCAGGTGCTTCTTCCACTCGCTTTTAATGAAATCTCAGTGGTCGTAGCTGAAACTAATATCTCATTTCCAACAAATTTACTGAAGTGATTCTTCGTGGTATATTTTAAACAGTATGAAATTAGTCTGCGCCTCTAGAAGACGGGCTATCTCTTGGCTTCTAAGAGTCCTAGTTTCATTTTGATGCTTTTCACAGCCATCGAGCATTGTTAGACAATATCTTTGATTACGGCGCTACTGAAAGAATTAGTGTTCAAAGATATGAGAACATCTAGTAATCTAAGGCCCTTGGACATAAGCACAGTGTCCTTTACCACGTTTTCAACCGACATCATTACAAAGAAACGATAAGTTTCCGTTTGTAGTTCCTGTTGGAATAAACCTAAACTCTGTGGTAAATAATATTAATTCCCGTTTGATAATAAGAGTTCATGTTCCGTAAAAACGTCATGAGAATCATTATCAACAACTTCACAAGTAAACAGAAGTCCTTAGCTATCTAAAAAAATCAAGAATGGATTTGTATGAGCTGCTTCTCTAGCATCGTTTATACCAGCACGTACGCAGCCACAAATTCCGACATGCAGCTGTTCCCCGAAATCGCACTTGCATCTGAAGCTGTGGTTTGAAATCTCCAATAGTCCGATTCGGAGCAAACGTATTTGTTAAATTGTACTTTTCCACATGTTTTGAAATATATTACATAAACATGAATTGTTAATAATCTCTTTAGTTTGTTGAGCCGAAGCAAAATGTTTTTTTTATTAAAGCCATCTGGTTAACGTAAAACTGACAGTATGTGACGAGTCTATTCGTATAGAAACCAAGTGATCCCAAAATGCGGGAATATTACACTCATATATCAATACTTTTATTTTATTAAATTGTTATATTGAACCCTGCAAGGAATCACTAATATCGCATTCGGAAAGATTAAATTTCGAGAACACATTAAACTGTCTACGGGCCCAAAATCAGTTTGTTTTCATCAAAATTGGGATGTGGTCGCAAAAGAAATGCTACGGCGAACCGAGAATGTACCACACATTAGCCACATTGGAGCAGGCCACACAACGATAAGGGAGAATTTTTAACACACCCTGTAGCCACGAGAGTGGCGAGGGTTATCAGTGGATGACCACTAGCAGATAGTGAGGGAGATCATTTGAAATACTCTTCTACACAATGTGATTCAGGCAAGGAAAATATATGGAAAGCGAAGATCCTTGGCTTAGCGGGGCACGTAACACTTGCTGGAGGCCAGACGAAGAGTCTGGTAAGAGTGGGAAATCGCCTTGAAGGATTCAGATCGTAGATCTTAATTGGCGTTGAGAGACAGATTCAGCGTCAAAATCCGAAGCGATAGAATTTATTACAGGCGAAGCTGGCAGACGAAATGAAAACCAAACCCTAATATCTCTACAAACTCGTGACCAGGAGGAGGCCTACAAACCAGGGTGTCTGTACTATGAATGGGAAAAGTGGCAAAGATCTAACTAACTTAGAGTTGGCAGAGATTCTCACTGCCAGCCTCGTATACGAACTTAACCTGGGGCACACAGACGTAGAACATCTCTCACCTGCAGTCCCAGTTGTGTGTCTGGGCGATACCCAACTAACTTCCGGTTTAGTATTAAAGAGACTGAAATCCCTGCGCCGAAGGAAGCCACAAGGATAATAATAATATATTCCTACAATGGCAGGTACATGCCAATTTTACAGGTATGATCTATAAATCAGAACCACAATCCTGAAACGGGGTGGGGAATCCATCGACATACCATTATGTAACCTGCTAAGTCACTCGTTATATACACGAGGATGGAAGCAGACCACTCTCTTTCTAGTCCTCGTAGGAGGCAATAGAAAAGATATGGGCGGTGACAGCCCTTTTGCGTTGCTTCAAATATCGAAAAAGATAGAAAGATCGGTAACTAAACAAATGGATGAATAAATGAGCAGAGGCAAAAGCCTTTGATCCGGCGAAAATCTGACACACCACCGCACGTGTTTCTCATTTCCAAGATCACAAAGCGATGATTTCCACTAACAAACTTTTATCCAGGCTCTGCAAATACACGGAGGTCAAGATGTTTCGTACTAAGACAAACAGATTGCACGCGAGTTGGAGGGTTTTAGCATCACGGTCTCACAAGGATTATTTTCAAATCCAATCCCCTTTCTGGTCTCTATTGGTGGCGTGTTGGCTAAAGCTGGAGAACAAGCTTAGGCTAGAGATAGAACAATATATTTAATATGAATAAAAGATATGAGGTAACATCCAACAGGGACCACGCCCGCAGCACCGAACCGTGCCTCTCTCACTCAAATCACACGATAAACATATCCACAAATAACCATCAAAATGACTAGAATTGATGCAGTCGAGTGGATAGACTAGCATCCATAGTGAGATGGTGGAGAAGATTTGTAGATCAGGTGGATGATTTTGGTGGAGTTTTGTTCTCTGAGTTGGATGGTTTGGTCGTGGAGTTTTCATCGTTCTTCTGAACGACATCATCAGCACAAACCATCCAGCTCAGAGAACAAAACTCCACCAAAATAGCATCCATAGTACCATAACGAATACCTGGAACCGTACCGAAACGACGAGAAGCGAGTGCCAAGAAATCAATATGTTAATACTAGCTCGTAATAAAGGAATTGGATTCAAATCGCTTTACCAAATTATAGCTGTACATCCAAAATTGACGTCGGATCAACTAGAGAACTCTTGTACATTGAGACTATTAATGAAACTTTGGCTTCCCTCAATCATTAATTGTAACTTTTGCAGCCTATTTTGTTTGTTGATGTTTGTAAATCTAGCGGATTTTCAAAAAGCTTCCAAGCTTTTCCTTGTATTTTGTTTCTGAGGATGTCGCGTCTCAACTACAGCAAGTGGGATCACATCGAGGTTTGTACTTTTCACAAACTACTCTCCATATTTTCTGTTTCACAGTCATCTGTGTTTGCATGTAACTAATGTAATTTTACAGCGTGATGAGATAATTTCTGGAATTTGATGCTTCTGGTACTGTCTTCGTCAGTACTAACTCCCACCAAATAATAATAAAATGCCCTAGAGCCTCGACATTATCTTTCAAATAATATAAGTCTTTGTTTATATGTGATCGCACATCAGTGTTCCAGTTTAGATGGGAAAAACCGAAAAATAATAAATTTATTTTGTCTTTATCTTAATGATTAGAAAATTTCACGTGTAAGCATTACTAACGTCCTAAACTGTTCTTCAGGCAAGAAGGTATACCGAATAGTTCAGGTGGTTTCTGGAGTGCTCAGGTTCTAGAATTGACGTCACTTTAAGGGAGGAGAACGCGATAGGATTGAGGTGGAAAGGAAATCATTAACTGCTCCAATGGGAATATGCACATGAAAATACAGTCAAAATACAAGTTAGGTTACGAGACAAAGTCAAGGGTGATGGTGATCTGTGGATTCATCAGAGGACATAATGAGTGTGACTGGGGTATCACGACGAATCTAGCTCTTCACCACACCGTTTCCAACTTCAGCTCAAGACTATTGCTCAATCACCAACCAGAAATTTCACATGTCATGACGAGACTAAGATTATCAGTGTGCGTCAACATGTATAATTGAGATGTATCGACCTACCACTCCTAGTTTATTTTCAACTTGCATGCCAGTCAGCATCTTTTGCCAGGGTAGATAAAATAAGCGTGCTTAACATCTCTCTGAAGGGATTGTGCTCTCGTCAACCGACTTGCCAATTCTACATGGTATTGTCCGTCTAACCTTAACACTATAGGTCAATTGTATAATATACACTAGCAGTTCTTGGAAGGTGCCTGTGATTGAATACTTACAACTCACGGGTGTTTTCTATTTTGAAGAACGTTTGGTGATATGAAACAGATTGCTTCTCAGTTTACTCGCTTATTGGTTAACATACAGATTGAGACCTAGATTTATGTAACTTCAGTCCTTAAATAAATGGATAGTTGCGACTGTTTCAATTGGTTGGGAATGTAACTTATTTACATTACTTACAGCGTTATATGCTTGAGTTTGAGTCATGAACACAAACATTGGTAAAAGGAGGCACCAACCACATATGCATCACACTTCATCATCCGGTTTGTGTGAGGGTTGGAATACTGCTCGGGTGCCAAAATCGAAGTCTAGTTATTTGACCATAAAGTCACGACCTGATTACAGAGAGAATAACAATGCCTCGGTCTTCTACGTGTCTGCGAAGCTTTTTGCATTCATATGAATATATACCTAACTTCTTTTAAAAGACTCATTTTACACTATCTCCTGTTGCCTTAGTATCCTTTAGGGCCATATGTATCTGGTGCCCTCGTACCAATATTTGTGTCCAAACAAATAAATAAACCTTTTAGAAAGTATTACGTGTGCTCAATCACGGCAGTTGTAGTATGTTGAGAGAAAGCTTGGGCCGGTCATACCAAGATGTAGTGCTAGTTTATACTCATTGATAACAGAACTGAGCCAGTTTGGGTCAGTGATTGTCATAACAAATGGTTAAAGACTAGACGACATGTCTCAGAATCGTCCATAATGTGTGTGTGTGTTCACTCCTCTAGAACCTAGGTCTCAAAATCTTATACCTTCTTTTCGTATACCTAATCGTTTTTATTGATACTGATACTGTTACTACTTCTGCTATGAAAGTCTGCGATGATATCGCTGTGCTAGTGTGGTGCGGTAACAAACTGACATGTGTCGGGTTCTGTGTTGCGAAGGATTGACTAACTGGCCATATATATATATATATATATATATATATATATATATATATATATATATAACCATCACTGATATACGTATTTATGTACAGAAATGTTTGTTTTTAGGCGGAGAGATTACAACTGGTCAATTTTTAAAGATTATTTGTAACGTAACGTTTTTATGTTCATATAGGTTTCTGATGATGAAGATGATACTCATCCAAATATAGACACACCTAGCTTATTTCGATGGCGACATCAAGCACGCCTAGAAAGAGATGCTGCTTGGAAGAAAGAAAAAGCAGAGTTTGAGAATAATTATAAGTCATTTCTAACTAAATATAATGAGGCACAACAAAAATTAAATAAAGCTAAGGAGGTTTGAATTGTGGAAATATTTATTTTTATCTAACTGGGACAGACTGGTTCAGACAACATACAGGAATTACAGAAAAAATTCGATGAACTCGAAGTGGAAGCTAAAGAATGGTCAGTGAAAGTGACTGAAATACAAAAGAAAGAACGAGTAGGTTTTGTTCAAATAATATTCTATGAATTCTAATTCAGCTTAGACCTTTAAATATTGATACAATTTGCAAAGATGCGAAATCGAAGACGGTAAGTTGCACAAGCATTTGTGAAAAAATTTACACTCCATTTATAATTCCTTGGATGTGCTTAACTGTCCGTAATACAGTGCTTATTCATACACCATTTTTACCATTTAAACTTATGTTTTGATGTATATATAGTGGAAAACACGTCACGAAAATTGTGCGGCGTTATGAAGAGAACGTAAAGTGGGTTTGATAAACTGTCAGTGTCATTCTTTTTAGGTATCCAACACAGATAATAGTAAGCTAATATTAGATCGCAACTAAATTAGATTTAGGAAAATATCTATTAGTATCACCCCACTCAGCTGTACGATTTATGTGCTCCCATTCAGTGAGTTGTGGTTCACTAATACATGTTACCTCAGCTCAACTACTGTTACCCTTACCAGAGTATACTATATGTAAAGTGTGTTCGATCTATCTAAGCTGACTGCTTAAAATAGTGTGAATGATCTAAAAGCATTCTTTACAGTCAAAAACGTTGTGACATCTGAGTTACGAATATTGTGTCACCACTGAGTAAATGATTCGGATCCGTTGGCCGGATACTATTAGCAACAACCACCTGTGGGAAAGAACAAACCAGATCCCAGTGGAGGAAGAAATCAGTAAGAAGCGCTGGAAGTGGATAGGACACACATTGAGGAAAACACCAAACTACGTCACAAGACAAGCCCTCACATGGAATCCTGCAGGCCAAAGGAAAAGAGGAAATGGAGATAGACATGAGAAAAATGAACAAGAATTGGATGGAATTAGAAAAGAAGGTCCAGGACAGAGTGGGTTGGAGAATGCTGGTCGGCGGCCTATCCTCCATTAGGAGTAACAGGCGTAAGTAAAGTACTGAGTAAATGCATTCCTATGAAGACAGTTATGGCCTTGAATTCTTAGCTAGAAATAATCGGGTCTCTCAGATTTCGACGAGGACTGGTCATCTAAGCATTTTTACCCAGTCTGTTATAATGGGGCCAACGGTGAATCGGATTAATGTATGCTATTGCTTATGCGAATGTTGGTTTTGCCTGCCTAGTTTCTGCTGTTCATACAGCTACACGGTTATTATTATTATTTATTATTTGAACACATGAATATTGGTACAGAAGAGCGCCAATATATATGCGCCACACAAAACAATGAGAATTCGAAGAGAAATATAAAAAAAACTAAGGAGCGCAAAAAGAAAAAGAGAACAATAACGAAGAGATTGGTGTAAGGTAGTGTGGTAGTAACGAGGGAACGGAAAGGTACAATCAGAAGAAATCATTCAGGTAAGGGAGACACAACCACTTTTTATGAAGTAAGTAAAAGTAAGTTACAGCAGGATCACCACTGGCTTCTATTCTCAGCCATATCTGATAACGTCTCTAGCCACTGTGTAACACCATCTCTCAGACCCCAACCAGGGAGTCGTGAAGGACCGACAGAAGCCAGTCCTTTGCAGCTTTCTTTCATATCACGACACTGACCACCTCTCCGCTTTTTCCAACCAGTCCCAGAGTCGGCAAATAATGCACGACGTGGAATTCTCTGGGACGACATTCGGAGAACATGTCCAAGCCACCGAAGTCGGTGTTTCAAGATGGTGACACCAATTGCATTATCATCTCTGTGCCCGAACACACGATGCCGAACCTCTGCATTACTGACATGGTGTTGCCACTGAATGTCAGCAATCCTTCGGAGACAGCGATGATCGAACACAGAGAGTCGTCTAACGTCCTCAACTCGGAGAGACCAGGTTTCACAAGCATAGAGCAAAACTGCTCTCACCGACGCGTTGTAGATCCGACCTTTTACAGCCAGACTAACATCACGAAGGCGCCAAAGATGGCCCAGATTGGCATAAGCCGCTCTGGCTTTCACTATTCGTGCATTGATCTCATCACTCACACCCCCACCAGCACTTATGCAGCTACCCAGATACACGAACTTCTCGACTACTTCTATCTGCTCACCATCCAAGGTGAGTACAGGATTGGAATCCTGCCAGTCTTGTAGAAGTACTTTGCACTTCGAAGGTGCAAAGCACATACCATACTTACGGACACTGATTGCCAACTGATTAAGTGCGGATTGCATGCCTTGGGCATTATCGCACAGTAAGACAATATCGTCCGCATACTCAAGGTCGAGAAGTCTTTCTCCAGGCAACAGATCCACACCACCATTACTTACATTCATCAGAGCTGTTTCCAGAATGTCATCGATGGCAAAGTTGAAGAGGAATGGTGAGATTGGGCAACCCTGCCTAACCCCACTGCTCGAATGGAACAATGGAGAGAGGTGGTTGTATGCCCTCACTCTGCTGAGGTGTTTGTATATAGGGCTTTTAGGATGTTAATAAACTTCTCAGGCACACCCTTCTTCAATAGACAATCCCAGAGAACAGTCCTATACAAAGAATCGAAGGCAGCCCGAATGTCGAGAAACACTACGATTGTTGACCTGTGATAAGTATGATGGTGTTCTAACATTTGGCGGAGGGTGAAAATATGATCAATACATCCTCGACCAGAACGAAACCCAGCCTGCTCCTCGCGAGTCAACCTTTCTCGGGTTCTGAACAACCTACGAAGTATGACGGAAGCCAACAGTTTGGACACAATTGGAGGTAGACTTATCCCCCGATCGTTGTTACAGGAACGACGTGAACCCTTTTTAAAGATAGGGACAACTATCGACTTACTGCATGATGTTGGAACGCTCTCTAGCTCCCAAACCTTTGTAAACAACGTCGTCAATTCCTTAGTCGAAAAGTCACTATCATCTTTAAAAAGAGCCGGAGGTAAGTCATCTGGGCCAGGTGATTTGTAACGCTTCAAGAGTTGGAGTTCCTTGCGGACTTCCTCCTCGTTTGGTGGATCAGTCGTCACCGACCATGGAGAGCAGGACAGTCTGACCGATGTTGCCGGAGCAGCAGGCCAGTTGAACTGCCCTTCGAAAAATTCTACCCATCGTCCAAGACGTCGATGGATGTTAGTGATTGGCATCCCATCATCCTCGCAAATTGTTTCACTCACACCAGACTTCTTGCTGCCAGTGGCTCGGATGAGTTGGAAGAGCTTTTGGTAGTTACCAGATGCAGCTGCTGCTTCCAGCTCATTAGCACGCATCGACCACCAGGCTTCTCGGTCCTTACGCAAGCTTTGCCTAATTTCCTTACGTAACATCCTTCGTTTATGGTCAAACTCACGGTCACCCGGAGTAGACCGACGGGCTTCAATGAGTTGTAAGGAACCTGCAGAACCCAGTGCTTATAAGCGGGACGTTTCGCAAACCCACAACTGACTGTACTCGCCATTTTCATGGCGTCATGCAATTGCAACCAATGCTCATCTATACTTTTCGGTGGAGTGGTAGCTAGCCTAGAGGCTAGCTCGGTTCGATACTTACTTGCAACAGAAGTTGCAACCAGCTTGCTAACATCAATCTTTTGGTGGTGGTCACTTCGTTGTCCACTGAAAAGTAAGGTAAGATTGGCGCAGACCAAGGCATGATCAGAGTTCAGATAGGTACTCCAAAAGGAGCGGCAGTCTTGTACACAACCACGCCAGCGGTAGCTGATCGCAATGTGATCAATCTGAGTCCAAGCTTGAGATTCAGAGGGAGAACGCCAGGTGGCACATCGGCGATGACTGTGCCGAAAGTTAGTGCTAGCCAGAAACAGGTTGTGGTCTGTGCAAAGTTGTAGTAGACGGTCCCCGTTATCTGTCCTGCGACCAACGAGTCCCCATCGGCCACCTAAACGACTCTTCTGTGCCTAGACGCCCGACCTGAGCATTCAAGTCTCCGGCTAGTACTACAATATCTGTCGAACGCACTTTCTGGAGAAGAACTGATAACTGGTGGTAAAACTCATTCTTGATTGCATCCGGGCTGCAATCTGTCGGGGCATAGGCGGAGATGACGAAAAGACATCGTTTCTCACGCCGATTTCTTCTCACTTTGATGGAACTTTCTAATCTAACAGCACATAACCGACTGTTAATGGGGATCCAATCGACTAGTGCTGCCTCAGCTCTAGCGCTTAGTGCGACACCAACGCCAACAAGACCAGACGAAGATGCCACAGGGTCCCCGGATAAGCGCACGTAAAACAAGCTTTTCGAAGCGACAGATGGAGATCGAATTTGTAGTACTTCGCCAGAGTCTTGAATACGGGTCTCGGATAGACAACAAACATCAATATTAAGACTTTCCAAAGACATAGCCAGCCCTATCTGTTGTCCGACCTGCATAAATGTGCGAACGTTGAAGGCAGCCAGTTTGAATGGTGCACGTGGTTTCAGAAAAACTGCTTCAGTTCTCGTATTCGGTGGTAGCATACAATTTTCAACCGGACAGTGACTCGAGAACGTTTAGATACAGTCGAATTTCCACCAAAGACGAGCCGCTGTATGAGTATAAAAGAGGGTGAATAATGTGGAAAATAATAATAATAATAATAATAATAATAATAATAATAATAATAATAATGACAATAATAGTAATAATAATAGTATTAATAATGACAATAATTGTAATGATAATAATTTGAATCATTTGATTGTTTTTCGAAGTGAGAAAAGTAATTTCCATAGACATAAGGAGTTCATCATTTGTGTGTGGGCTGTGATACTTCCCGGGTGCCCAAACCGAAGCAGGTGGTTATCTTAGGGGGCCACTCCCCGAGCCTTTGACCTAAAGGTCTAATCCACAAGGCAGTGGAGCATCGTAAGGAGATGCAATCCCATGGTAGCCGGTGACCAACGATTGGTTCATACGCCATTTGTTCCCGCAGGATACTGGAGCCCATGTGCACCATTGGTTTGTGATCCGGTTAAAGCACCGGACATTCGCTTTTCGTCCTCTCAATTTCGTAAACAACACCCCCGCCACGAGAAGACAATGAGTAGGACTTCCCTGGCAGAGGCTGTATACGCGCGGCCGTGTGAGAGTATTTCGAGAAGGAGAGCGGACTCTCCCCACTCTCGGCCGTACCAGGGCATTCGGTTACGCGAATTCCGGTTTATTAATTGGTTTAACAGCAAACATATGTAGTGGTTACTTATTGTGACTAAGGCCTGAACAACAAGCGTAGCATAATAAAACGAATTCATTTACTTCATGTATTCTAGGTCAGCTGCTTACAACCTAGAAACAATAGTAATAATTATTTGCAACCAATACACGTACTTCAAATCATATTAATGAAGATTAGTAAAATAACAACAACACGTGTGGAAGAATTATAAGTTTGTAAAGTTAATGAATATTTATGTTACTGGATGTGTAATTCTGGAAAAAAATTGAAATACGTAGAGACACATTTCTAGGGAAAGAGAAGTGATGTAATAACAACTATGAAACTGGATAAAATAACATATTAAGATGAGTAAAGCTCAAAAATTGACCTAAAATGAAAGGTTTTATTCAGAATATGAAAGTTGTGTAATTGAATAATAAAAATAGAAGTCACTAGGATGGTAAAAGATTTGCAACTGTTTCTTTTTAAATACACTTATGGTTCTAACTTTTTAGTAGCGATTGTCTCGACGTAGTCTATCTATTTCAAAGTTGATTGATTATGAATTATTTCGAAGGGTTTTAAAATGTCAGTTTAGTGTTCGCTATCAAGTGGATGACAGAGAATAGCACTTTAGAAAACACAATGGAATGTACTCTGAGATCCGAACAAGTATCTTGCCTTCTGTTCTTCCGATGTAAATGCTTTGACATGAACATGTAAACTGGTAAATACAGTTGGATCTAACTAAGCTCAACACTTCATACAAACAATCTTTTTAACAATATCTGAATACAAAACCCACATAAAATTCATTGCTATGGAATTTAACATAAATTATCTGTTTGTCATGAAACTAGTTAGTTTTTCTGTGAAACTATATGAATATATTGTAAACCATTCATGAAGTACATATGTACTTAATTTATCATTACCTTTTTCTATGGAGTCAATTGATACTACCTGACTGACCAATCCAAAGTTGATAAAAATCACAATGAACTTGACCTTGTCATTTACTAGTTAAAAGTTAATCATTTTAATCACTAACCCATTGTTGCTTTTAATAAAACAGCCAATATGATTAAGTGAAATAATAATTTCATGAATTATTAAAGAATATCTAGGATCCTGTTAGTCGATCAAGCTCACATAATATTTGACTGAATAAGTTGTTAGACATTGCTTTCATTATAGCAAAAAAGAAAAGTGATCATTACATCATTGAAACGGTATTTTACACAAATCTTTTCTTGGAGTTAGCTTTTATATTAGACTGTACTCAATCAAAGGACTACACATAAACACAGATTGCATTGGATAGTTACTTCGTTAATTTCCAATTATTGAAGCTCTAATATCTGGAGATTTTTACGCTTATTTTAAATGATATAACTTAGGATGTAATATGTCCATCTTTAATTTAAGGTGGACACTGGATAACTAGTTATTCAGTATGTTTGTTTATTATAGTCGTTTGAAGTACCTGACATGAGATCAATGTGACATCTCTTGAACAAAAAAAGCATGCTTTTATGAGTTAAGATCTATAATCTTACTTGATGTGGTAAATATCACTCAGTGACAATTGATTGCAGAAACTGAATTATTAATATAGAGCTACCTTCAATGAAAAAAAACAACAATAACCAGTCAGCCCATTGAATCGTTTTACATCAAAATAGCATGATATGCTTACATGAAAAATGTTTAGTACAAAATAAACATGATTAAATATCACTTAAAGGATCAATGCACGTCAGTCAGTCAGTCATAAGCGACACAGAACCTGAGACATATGTACATTCTGTCAAGTTATCTCCCACATAATGTAACTCATTTACCAAGTACATATCTTGTATTCAGTCGTGAACAACACATTTAGCAAGGTTCAGTGATACTTAGCTGCTTTACACTAAATCAAGCTTGTGATCTGGTAACTGGAAACTGAATACCCTGACTGACCATTAAGCCATCTCTCTACAAATGATTACGGGATATAAGTTGAATGAGATTATTAATCAACCTATAGAAACTAACTCATAATCTATCAGGCATATTTGTTTGCCATATACATGTATCAGGCAATGATAAGTATAAAAATGGGTTCTGTCTGATTATTTCACGGTCCTCTTTATTCTTTTCATTTCTAAAACTACATTTTAAAAAAATGCAAATCAACCTAAAAATCTAGGTTATTAACTCGCCCAAACTTAAACACGAAGAGAATTTGGACTCGACATCAAATTCCGAAGAGGCCGCAGTAAATCGTCTAAAAGAATTTGTTAATAAGCATAATAAAGCTATACGAAAATTTGGACTATTGCAAAAACCATTAGATTCACAAAATTTTCTTGTTAAACATCCTGATCTCGTATGTGAAGAGACAGCTAATCAACTTGTAATTTGGTGTATTGATTTGGCTATGGAAGAGGTAAGCAATTCATTTTTGCATATTTCATAGTTCAGTGTACTTTATGTTCGTAATTTACAGTTTTGTTATGTCAACAATATTAACATAAATCTTTGTAACCAAATACAGGTTTATGTTTAGTCGGATTTTAGTCATACTACTTGTGTGTGTTTATGAGTCCTGGTTATACTAATCTTTCTTGTCTAAAGCGAATGAAATGATGCAGGATTGTAATCTGTGACTTACTAATTGAATACTAAGTGTGTTGAGTCTTATTGTCACGTGATTTATTCGCCAATCGAAATGCACCTTATTCAATCTTAGTACTGTATTAAACTAATGACGTCCGACCGGTATGAGCAGCCTAACGTCCTTATTGGTCCTTTGTTCGTTTAGTCCGTTCACTTGAGTCCAGAACACCAACAACAGCTTCCATTATGCAAATCATTTATTTCAAACATACTTGGTTTATATTACCAATCAAACAGACCACACCACACCATAAAATAGGAAATAACATTTGTAGAAAATCAAGTCAAAAAGTGGCTGTGAACGTAGGAGACGGTAGTTAATATACTGAACATAATTTAGGAACAGTGAATCGTATAATAATAATAATAATCTATAGGTCAAAATGAAGCTTATAATAAGAGGAATATAGATATACCTAATCTAGTTGCTGAACGGTTATACAATAGGAATATATATATATAATATTGGTCCATTAATAGTTCTCAGTTGCCCGTAATTTAATCTTCACTAGGATATAAAAAAATGTTTTCTAGCGTCCAGTGTCCGAAACTAGAACGATTCAGCTATGCTTGTACGCTAACTGGTCTCCAATAGTTTCATCAACTGATCCGACTCTATCACGGAATCTTATCTTGTTTTCAATCATTGTCATTATTGTTCTCAATAATTATTCTATTTTTTGTTGTTGTTTTTCTTGGCTTCCTCTTAAAATTCCAATAGAAATTCGAACTAATGGAACATGTTTCACATCAGTGTATAGTGATGCAATTTATGCTTGAATTAGCAAAATCGCTAAAAGTTGATCCAAGAGCGTGTATTCGACCATTCTTTGCGAAGTAAGTTCAATAATGATATATAAAATCAGAAGGGGCTTTTTGGATATTATAGTAATTTCAATAGTTGAGGTCATGAATCAATTGAAGCTAGTCCACCATGGTAAACCTGGAAGCACTGGACGGTCGTTTCGTCCTATTGTGGGACTTCTCAGCAGTGAGCACCCACGATCCTGCCTCGCGAGATTCGAACCAAGGACATATCAGTCTCGCGCGCGAACGCCTAACCACTAGACCACTGAGCTGTCCGGCATCCAGCGGTGTTAATATCTAACTTCAACTAATCCACAAAATTGAGCGACACATCCACCATTGTTATCAGTGAGTTACTATCTCACAACACACCTGGTCGAACTGCACTGGTCACTGCTTCTCACTATAACTCCAGGATATATTTCTTGAAGCCAGTCACTAGTGGGCGTATGTTGATTAGTATCAGAAGTGATGCCGGCTCAGTGGTCTAGTGGTTAAGCGTTCGCGCGCGAGACTGATATGTCCTTGGTTCGAATCTCGCGAGGCAGGATCGTGGATGCTCACTGCTGAGAAGTCCCACAATAGGACGAAACGGCCGTCCAGTGCTTCCAGGTTTTCCATGGTGGTCTAGCTTCATGATCTCAACTATTGAGATATATAAATTGTCAAGTATCACTACAAAAATGGTTTAGCTTGATAACTTCAAATTAATTAAGGATTGAATAAATTATTTATAATAACAATAATATTGATATCCTGACATCGTGCACAAGGTGTTAGGCCTCGTGGACTAATGATCATATTACAACTTAATCGATAGAATTCAATCATCTCTAAAAGATTGGATAAACACGAAAATGACCACTACTCAATGATCCCTAAATTGTAAACATCATATTTGCTACTATACAGATTGAAGATGATTCTACGTCAAACATATTGATATGTATATAAGTTACTGTAAAGAAAGTGTATTACATAAAATGAGTTATTTATGTTTTATATTAATGATGTAAATCTAAACAGATTGTGTTATGACTGATTGCTGATATTTCAGCATTTCTGTTTGAAGTGACTTCAGATACCCTAGTATGGCGTGAGTGGTGAAATAAATGAAAGCAGTATAATGAGAGCAGTTTTGCTCTATGTTTGTGAAACTTGCCATCTTCAAATTGAGGATGTTAAGCTACTCTCTATGTTTGATTATTGTTATCTCAGATGGATGGCTGACATTCCTTGGTAACACCATGTTAGCAATTTAGAGTTTCGGCAAAGACGATAATTCAATTGGTTTCACCATCTTGAAAAGCCGAGTCCGGTGGCTTGGACATGTACTACGATTGTCATCCCAGTGAATTCCACATCGTGCATTATTTGCTAACGCTGTGACCTGTTGGAAATGGCGAAGAGGTATTCAGTGCATAACATTGTGTCGTTTTATGAAATAAAGATGCACAGGATTGGTCCTTCACGACTACTTGGTTGGCATCTTAGAGTTGATAAAACCACTATCTTTGAGACGTTATCAGACATGGCTCAGAATAGAAGTCAATGGCTATTCTGCTGTAATTTTCTTTCACTTTCTCCATAAAAATGAGAGGAACCTCTTTAACTGAATTTTGTGTGACATTTTACAATGATTTTATTTATAAATAATAATCATTTGTTCTAGTTTCTGCTCAATCAGTCTACTGAAAATTTCAATATCTTTACTATTTTTGTATTGTTGGCAGATGTCCATCAACGTGATCTTAAACCTAGTGAGTTGATTGATTGAAGTAGGGACCAAATCTGTTGTTTGTGTAAATAGATTTTCAAACTGTACATCCGTATCTAGCGTTGTGGGTTCTACTTTCAATCATACAATCCAAATTTACTTATTCTTTGTATTTTCTATACTGTGTACAATTATACATAATTGGATCCTTTTTTTTCTCTGAATAAATTAAGGTTTAAGAATCCTGAACCAGAATATCAAAAAGCTTTCAATGATGAACTTTCTGCATTCCGAGAAAGAATCAGAGCTCGAGCAAAAGTTCGTTTAGAAGAAGCTATGATGCAGATTGAAGAGGTAAAACCACATTCTAATTGTTTTAATATATATGAAAATATTATTCAATAACTCAATATTAATGTGAATACCATATAAGGATGATGGTAAAAAATGAAGCTAGCAACGATTTTTATACTAATCTTTCGGTAATAATTCAGTTGTGTCAAGCTTGGGCAAGGTTGCTTAAACTAAAGTACGTCATGCAGAGTCTAAATCTGTGTCACTAACTGGTCAGAAATCGAGTTCCTTAACGGCGTTTTAATAAAGTAGTCAGTCAGCTACAACATAGGACCAGGCACATATATGCATCAGTCCAAGTTGCCATACCTCATTAACACAACAAGATGAACACCGGATTCATAAAAGTAGTTAGTTCTGTGGTGGTAATATATAAAAGAAAGATTGCATATAAGGACATAGTACAGAAAGACTGAATAAGTAAGTGGTAGGAAAGATATGAAGCGATTATAATCTCATAGTTTAAGGGAAGACAGAGTGTATACACCCACCGCCATTGTGGTCGGTTCTGAGCCATTTCACCAAGAGTCTCTAACCATTGGTTACGATAATCACGCGGACCCCAACCAAGTAGTCTGCATCTACCAACATGGCTCAGACTAGAAGTTAGTGACTTCAGGCACTGATGCCACGTTTTGGTTTGGCCGCCCCTAACTTTCTTCCAATCATCTCCAACACCGGTTAGCAATGCGCGTCGTGGTAATCGGTGTTCAGGCATACGCAACATGTGGCCCAACCATCTCAGTCGATGAAGATTCACAACCTCATCAACTGATTTACCATCATTCCCTAATACTCTGCGTCTAACCTCACTATTACTTACCCGGTGATCCCAGCAGACGCCAGCAATATTTCTAAGGCATCTGTGGTCAAATACTAATAGCTTACGAGTGTCTTCTACTCTTAATGGCCATATTTCGCAACTTGTTTATTGTTACTAGTGGCAAATTACTACTATATTTCCTTTGGCTTGAACAAAGGGATAGTATGATTACATAACTCCTTACATTAATGATGTGTGCAGTTCAATATCGAGTGCGTGCCGTATACGTTTACTTAGTAATTTAAAAAATCCGTGTGACTGTATGGCTAGTTTCTGTTTTTCGTTTTAGGAAGAAAAGCAAAAACGTCTTGGTCCTGGTGGTCTGGATCCAGTTGAAGTTTTTGAGTCGTTACCAACGGTTAGTAATATTTATTGTTGTGAATTTCGGTTGTTTTCTAAAAGAAAACTTTACAATGAAATTTTTCCAGCCTACTCATTCGACCGATCTACAGTGAAATAATGGAACCACTAGCTTCCTAATTAACTTTATTAAACTGGTTTTTATATGCTAAGTATTCAGCGAAAACGGTATTAATCATACAGGTTTTTAAGAGTAAACGGGACGAGACTTAAGTTTATAAACGTACTTGGAACCATACCAAAGTGACAGTTACTTATTTAAACACAACATTAGTACAAAGGGGAACCGAAATATGTATGCCCCACACAAAATAGTTGTTATTCAGTTTATATATGGGTTGGGATACTTCCCAGTTGTCTAAGTGGAAGCATACGCTTTTCCTAAGGGGCACTCCCCGAGCCTTCGACCTAGAAATCTAATCCTCAAGGTTGTGGAGCAACGTTAGGAGGTCCAGTCCCATCGGATCCGGTAAATGGCAATAGGTTTGTACTTTATTTTTTCTCATGAACCTGGAGTTCATGCGGACCATTGGTTAAAAGTCAAGGTTTTCGAACTTCCCTAGGTGAGTTTTTCGTACCCACCAACCCAGTCTTAACGCCGGACATTAGCGTTTTGTCCGCTCAATTTCGTAAATATCCCTGTCACGAGGTAGTGAGTAAGACTTCCTTGACAGCGTCAATATATACGTGGTCTTATGAGAGCATTTCGAGAGAGAGAGAGAGAGCAGACTTACCACTCTCGACCCTGTCTGGACATTTGGGGTCAGAAGTCAAAATAGAGCAGTTCAAATACGTGGCTCAACTGAAAGCTGTAAATTAGTGTTTAGGATTAGGATTAAGAGTTAGGGTTTTCCTCACGAATTGACATCATCTATAGTATCAGAATGCTGTATGTGTTATAACGTGTGTGACTGCAGGTTTTAGATACGCAGCGTTTATATCGATCGCTTCTGTGACAGTGGACACGTAAACATGTAAGGACGACCTAGTGCCCTGATTGGCCCTGCCTCGCTGTCTGTCCTAGCCAGTTGAGTCAAGAACACAAGTCACAGCCTCTGGGTTATGAATCATTGTATTTCAAACATACTCTATTTATATACCAAGCAAACAAACCACATCGTACCATAAAATAGGAAACAACATTTGTACAATATTTAACAAGTGAAATAAACATCGACCAATAAGAAATGTACATTTAGGGTTCAAGGACACCATTGAACTTAACATGGTAATTATTGGTCTCTTTTTCCGACTGTCCTAACAGTATGCCCCTAAAATGCCCTGGTACGGCTGAGAGTGGGGAGAGCCTGTTATCCTTCTCGAAACGCTCTCACAAGGCCACGCGTATATAGCCTGTGCCAGGGAAGTCCTACCCATTGCCTTCTCGCACAACGAGTGTTGTTTACGAAATTGAGAGGACGAAAAGCGAATGTCCGGCGCTTTAACCGGGTTGGTGGACATGGATTATTATGGGGTAAACGGAAAGGTATAACCAGGAGGAATTCTTTCAGTTAAGGAAGTTACAACCACTTTTTATGAAGAAAGTAAAAATAAGTTACAGCAGGATCACCACTGGCTTCTATTCTGAGCCATATCTGATAACGTCTCTAGCCGCTGTGTTGCACCATCTCTAGGACTCCAACCAGGGAGTCGAGAAGGACCAACAGAAGCCAGCCCTTTGCAGCTTTCTTTCATGCCACGACACCATGTCATACAATGACCACCTATCCGTTTTTTTGCAACCAGTTCCAGCGTCGGCAAATAATGCACGACGTGGAATTCTCTGGGACGACATTCGTAGGACATGTCCAAGCCACCGAAGTCGATGTCTCAAGATAGTGACATCAATTGCATTATCGTCGCTGCGCCCGAACGCACATTGCTGAACTTCTGCATTACTAACATGGTATTACCACTGGATGTCAGCAATCCTTCGAAGACAACGATGATCAAACACAAAGTCGTCTAACATCCTCAACTCGGAGAAGCCAGGTTCCACAAGCATATTGAATGCTACCACCTCGGATAATAGTTGGGTGTTAAAACAATTTTCATTTTATCTAAGCCATAGTTAGTGGGAACGTATGCAGACAGTGCCAGGAAATAACAAATTGTATACATATCTTTCAAAATTCTTACTATTTTGTTCATTATGATCGAGTGCAAGCAACTGGAGTTCGATCTAGGAGTGTAAATTTTACTTTTGGAATTAATGCTACGCGTATGTCTATTTATACCATAAAAAATTGCTTGAGACTCCAGATACACCAGAAATGTGAATTGTATTGATATTTTACACTAGCCTGGTGAATGAATAATCACACTTGGTTTATGTATGTAAGTTTCAGACAAACAACATATATCAATTGAAAAACTACATAAAGGGGTTTAAGTTGAAGTAATAACAACAACTAACAGCTTTGGTCAGGTCATTTTCACCTGATTAAATTAGTTTAAGAATAATGTTTAGCTTTTTTCATTCTAATTAAGAGATGATCCATCAGAAACAATGTGTATGAACGACAACTTCATACACAGGACGTTGAAATTGCTCCAAAGGCAGAACATATTTTTGGACAAGTGATTCAAAAACGACATATTTAGAATTGTAGTCGATTTTCGTTTTTAGTCTGATTTATTCATATTTATAGTTGACAGAACAGATCACAGCTTTTCTTTGACTAAATAGTTACCATTCCATCACTGATGAAATATGCAATAATCACGTAATCAATGATTAAAGATTAATAACATTTGTTCTCGTTTATGCACATTGTATGTAATATATGTAGATAACTTAGTTTTCTCCTATTTTATTTCTCACGCTACAAGAATCTTCAAGAGTGTTTTGAGAAAAAAGATGTTGAGTTATTAAAAACAGTATTATGCAGTATGGATCCACAACAAGCTGAATATCATATGAAAAGATGTGTTGATAGTGGCCTATGGGTGGATAATGCACGTGATCAACAAGAAGAAGATGGTGAATCATCGTCAAATGTTAACACTGACGGTAATGATGATATTGCTGCTACAATTCAAACAAATAAAGAACCAATCCATGATAATGCCTAACATAATAAATTCTCTTGTATACTACTCGCTATCGAAAATTGCCCCTCTCTGTTTATTAAAGAAAAGTAAACGATTTTATATATACTTCATATCAATCACTACTGAATCCTTACTACAACTCTCCTCTTCTTCTTATGCGTTTATCATCTATCACATTATGTTAAAGCGTTTGTTGGTTGAAATTCTTTTCTTAAAAATGAGTCCACTGGATTGATTTAGTATGTAAGCACATTGTTTCATTTCTAATTAATGTGTGTGTGTAAAGAGTAATTCCTACTAACGACTAATGAATTTATGCATATTTTCTTGAGTGGTTTGTTTTTCTCTCACCTCGAGACGATATTTCAGTAATGCAATAAACGTAATAAGCTACATTTTGGATTATGTGTACGTGCTACAACTGAAGTAGACGATGGTAATGAAATCCGAATCCACAGTCTTATCATTTGCGAGTTGAGCATGTTAACTACTGAGCAACATCTTGTCGGAATTCATGATTCCCTAATTAATCTGATTTAACTTGAGAAAATATTGTCATTTCATTCCGGGTCAGTCAGCTGCAACGTAGTACCAGGCACATATACGCATCGGTCCAAGTGACCACACTTCATTAGCACAATAAAATGAACACTAAATTCATAGAAGTAGTTACTTCAATGGTAGTAATATATAAAAGAAAGAATGCATTTGATGATATAATACAGGAAGAAAGAATTAGTTCGTAGAACGAAAGATATAAAGCAATTTTAATCTCAGTGTTTAAGGGAAGACAGAAAGCTTATCCACCTAGGCCATTGTGATCGATTCTGAGCCGTGTCACCCAGAGTCTTCAACCGTTGGTTACGGTAGTCGTGTGAACCCCAACCAAGTAGTCTGCATTTATCAACATGGATCAGATCAGAAGTTAGTGGTTTGGCCACCCTTAACGTTCAACCATCCCCAACACTAGTGAGCATTGCGCGTTGTCGTAATCGGTGTTCGGGCATACGCAACATGTGGCCCAACCATCTCAGTCGATGAAAATTCACAACCTCATCAACTGATTTACCATCATTCCCTAATACTCTGCGTCTAACCTCACTATTACTTACCCGGTGATCCCAGCAGATGCGAGCAATATTTCCAAGACATCTGTGATTAAATACTAGTAGCTTACGAGTATCTACTCCTGATGGGCACGTTTCTCAGCTGTAAAGTAAAACAGAACGAACTGCCATGCAATATACTCCTCCTTTTATTGGTAGACGGATATCTCGCCCTCGCCATAGGTGACGTAATTTGGCAAATGTCAGACGAGCTTTTCGAATCCGTGCAGAGGTTTCGTTAGACACCAACCCATTAGGGTTGATCAGACTTTCGAGATAAGTGAAGTTGTCAACACGTCCGATTACGTCACTCCCTATTTTTAATTCAGGTGTTGACGCAGGCCAGTTTTGAAGCCACAACTTGCATTTGGAGGGGGAGAAACGCATTCCAAACATCCTGGCATTGTTGCTCAGTGCTACCAAATGACTCAGCATTTTATCAGCGTCTTCACCAAATAGGACTATGTCGTGTGCGTATTGTAGGTCGATAATTAGACCTGGTAGGAGATCAATGCCCGGAAATTCAGTTGACGAGAAAGTTATTTCCAGCAATAGGTCCATGATGAAATTAAACAAAAATGGAGATAATAGACAGTTGTCGCACACCACTTGGGGTTGCGAAATCAGATGACAGTTCGCCATAAGCTCCGACTCGACTGGTAGTGTTCGAGTAAAGAGCCTTCACAAGGTACACGTACTTCTGAAATACACCTTTCAATGACAGACAGGACCTCGATCTACAGAGTCAAATGCTCCTTTTGTCAGGAAAAACTATCATTGTCGGACGCCAATAAGCATACGTATGTTCTAAAACCTGACGAATGGTGAGTATGCGATTGATACAGCCACGACCGGGTCTGAAGCAAGCCTGGTTTTTTCGTGTTTGCAGTTCATAAGTCTTAGTTATGCGTCCGATAATTATTGAGGCCAGTATTTTAGAAGCTATATTAGTCAAGCCAATCCCTTCATGTTTATCACAGGATAATCTTGACCACTTTTTATATATTGGGACAGTCAGTGATTGCGACCAGTTAGATGGGATTACGCCCAGATTTTAGCCAAAATATTAGTCAACCTAATCGCTAAAATTGGACCATCATACTTTGGGAACGGTGGGTAGTTCTAGAGTAACTGAAGGCCAGTCGAACTGCTCATTAGTGTTCAGCTCATCGTTCTAAACGTCTGAACTGGGAGCAGATAAGTGTCGTCTTTTTCCGAGATCGTCTTACATTTGACTTCTTAATTCCAGTTTCTTTTATTAGTCTGACGAGCTGCCTTGTGTTACCTACAGCCGCTCCCTTTCCCATCTCTTTTGCTTTCGTTGCCCATCACTGCTCACAGTCGTTCCTTAGACTTTTGGTTAACCTAGATCTGATGTTTTCGTTCTTCATTGTTTTCAGAGCCTGATGGGATGATTTCGCGAGACTTCATCAATGCAATAGATTCGGTAGAAATCCATTAGTTTAAATCACTAATAGATGTCACTGCTGTTCATATATCTTTCCAAGCAACATCTGGGTCAGCCTCGTTTTCAGAACTACCTAAGTGTGACCTCAGTTGTTCCTGGAATCTACTTCTGGCTTTCTCGTCACTGAGTCCAACTCTAATGGGTCTTAGTGCAGTTTTTCTGAGTCCAGTGAGGCGCAAGCAAATATGTGCTCGTGTTAGAGCATGATCAGAGTCTAAATGTGTACTTCAGAATGAGCGGCAGTTTTCTTCCGAACCTCTCTAATGATGACTGATTGCAATATGGTTTATTCGAGTCCATCATCGGTTTAGCGCAGGAGGTCTCTATCTTAGACTGTCTCACGATTAAAATTAGTGCTTGTTAGAAATAAACGACTGTGTGAGCACAGTTGCAGCAGACGGTCACCATTATCTGTCCGTTGTGCCGGAATACTAAAATACCCACTTAAATGTCGTTCTGTTTAGTTTAAGCTACCTACTTGGGCAATAATGTCACCTGTTACGAGTACTATATTCGAGCGTTTAGCTTTATGAAGAAGTTCAGAGAGCTTTCTGTGAGTCATCTTCCACTTCATCCGGCTTGCAGTCAATGGGAGCGTAGGCACAAACGACGTGTGTCCTTATCCTCCCGAGTTTCTATGAAGCTGTTTAGCTGAACAACACATAGGCGACTGTTAACGGGGATTTATTCTGCCCTCGTACTTAGTGCTATGCATACACCTGCCAGTCCACGAGAACTAGCCATCGGGTCGCCAGACACACGAAGGGTGTATCTTGTCGGCTCTCCGTTTGGCAAGGCGAGGTCAAGTGACTGATTACACTAGGATCCTGTACGCATTTCGGAGACACAGCATACATCAATGGTACGAGATTCTAGAGTCTCAGCTAAGGAGGCCAACTGGTCGATTTGACATAGGGTGTGTATGTTGAAGACTCCAATGTGTAGTTTGCAGCGAGGTTTCAGTAGACCTGGGACAGTGTTCGCGCATTAGAATTGTTGGCTATGGTGACACTTGAGGAGGAAGCCAAAAGAGGAAGTTTAGTGTTGAAAGTAGATGTAACAGGAATAATAGGTATTGAAGTGGGTTGATTGTGAATACAGTGGTCTTGAGTGCTGTTAGATGTATGGGGGCGGTTATCACTTCCCGGTTGCCCATACCGTGAAAGGCTTCTCCTGGAGGTACCTGAAAAGGAAATTGGATCAGAGGTGGTCTTAGTGACCTGAGAGCGTGACCGCAGTGCCCAAGGGACAACTGCTTGAGGTCGGTCGCACACGACCTTTTTATGGGTAATTTCTGTGTTAGCTCCATACGTTTTGGGACTGTACCGCCGGAGATGGATATTCGTGGGATAAAACAATGTGTGCATTCTTATGATCGACCTTTTCTAACCCCACCCTTCCTTGTGGGAAGGCAGCACCACTGTTATGCCGGTTATCTGACGGAAACACCTTACTGCCGTCACACCTCTGTACAGTCAGCAGTACGACTTCGCCTTCGGACCTTGGGTTTGTTGCTTTTAGTCTTACCGCTCTTCAACCGACCTACCTGGCATGGTGGGACTTTGAGGGACAATTGTTCCAGCCAGTATAGCTCGATTAGTTCGTTACGATAGGCAAACGCGACCACCACGTCAAGGTAGCAGCAATGGTCCGGGTGCAGATTGTCATATTCATTCAGTCACTATTACAGCGTAAGATTCAGTGAATACATATCAGCCTAAGCAGTGTAAATTTATGTAATTATGAGAGAGGATTACATCTATACAGCTTACCGTTATAATTACACATCAGTATCTATAAAGGTCATGGAGATAAGAGTAAGATGTGATGTTGACATTTACTGAAGCTTGTCATAGCTTGCTTCAATCTTCTATGTAATGAAATTGATTAAAATGCACCGCTACTACTACTCCTATCACCAGTGTGTACAAATAATTGAATACGAAATTACAGAAGCATGTACAATCAGGAAAAACTCATTATTTGTAGAAAATTAACTTGAAATGGTTTTATTTGACAAAACTTTTTTTAAAAATTATTATGGTATAGCTGCTAAATAATCTTTCACTTCATCTGATGTTAAAATTCGAAAACCATTTTCATTGCATACACCAACTTCAATATTACTTTCAGTCATTTGACCTTCAAAACTCTCTTTTAAGGTTAATATGGCCGCATGTGTAGCATCCTCCAGTTCTAAATTTTCATTATATCTATCAATAGAAATATAAAGGCATTTTAAATACATTAACAGATCAAATTGAATGTTCTGTATTTTGATTGTAAAGCAATAACTTGAATATTTATTTCCTTCCTTAAAATTTTTTTATAAGGTAACTTATTTATCAAGTAAGCACATAGTGATTGTACCTAGCTCTTGGTCATATTAGGCTCTTTAAAACCGATATAACTGAATCAAGATTGTGATCTGCTATCTATGAATTTAA